CTGTGCACATTGTGTTTTCAAGTAATTATGTTTCTTGGATATTATTGTGTGTTCTAAGGTACAAATCTGAGATTTTTTGCTTGCTCCACCATATTATTTTTATCGTTTTCTTCTTGTTCACTGTTTTCAGTGTTTGTGGGTGCTTTTAGTGCGGGGAAGTTTGGTTTATCATTGTAAGAGTTTGTTAGCATGAACTCTTTGATTATTTCCTTCTTGCATACTTTAGTTGTTTGAGCTTCCTTTGTCAATTCGTGACAAAAAGGGAGAGTTATGTTGTGTCGATGCATGTGTCTTAGTTTTCATCTATTCATGCTACATGTTCTTATTATCTCCAAGTCGCATTTATTTGTGTTTTCCATCCCATGCTTCAAGATAATCAAGTCGCATCGATTCATGTTTTCCATCTCATGCTTCAAGATAATCGTGTCATATGTTTATTACTTTTTCATATGCTCTTGTGGCACTAATAGTTGGTTTGGAGATTGTGACACTAATAGTTGTTTTGCAGCTCATGAACTTGAGAAAGAAGTTTGCGTTTGTTGATTGTAATGGGTTGGGGTGATTAGGATTTTATTTGTTAGGTGTGTTTTGTCACGGTATTGCCGAAGGGGGAGATTGTTAGATTTTTATTTTTTGCAATCTCGTTTGACAAAACTCTTTTCAATTGTACTTGTTTTCGCACTTTTATTTCAGTGAGGCTATGAGTTTGTTAGATGTGAATCCAACCCGAATTGTGTTGTGCAAAGAAGTTTGTGATGTTAATTCTTTCAAGATTGCCACTTTGCTGATTATGACGAAGATCGAGCTGCCCGGTTAGCTCGCGGGGGTCCAGGGGGCAGTGCCCCTAAAGCAAAATGCAAAATTGCATTCGAAATTACATGTCCGCCCTTGCTCGCTCGAGCGAAGGCTGCGTCTGCATAAAAACCTGAAAGAGAAGATTTTACGCTCGAGTGCAGGTTGTTTGGTTCGAGCGAAGCCACTTATGGAAAAACACACGAGATTAGTTCCTCGCTCGAGCGAGCTTCGCAGTCCCAGATTTCTATAAGTATTTGTTTTAATCCAAAACTAGGATTACTTCTTCAGATCTTCTTTTTGGATATTAAGGTTTATATCTGGGAATATTTTGCTAGTTTTCTTTAATGTTTTGATTGAGTATTCAACTCATGGTTTAAAGAGTATACATCAAAAGATTATTTGCTTGTTCAAACTAAAAGAGAGAGTTGTTCTTGGGTGGATTCTGAAGAATTCGAGTCTGAAGCTTTGGTGGATTCTGGGGTGGCTCATCGTCAAGACAATTCCGAGATGAAGACAGGGTTGGAACAGGCACATAGGGGTTGGTTCAATTCGGACGTGGATTCGCTAGGTAATTGAGAATATACCTGTGTAATTCCTTTATATCTTCTTAGTGAATTGTTTTGTGACTGTTGCCCGTGATTTTTTTTCACAACTGGAGGTGCTCTAATTGTGATTTTTTCACGTTAAAATCGTTGTGTCGATTTGTCTTGATTGTTTGATTGAGATTGTTTTATTGTTTTAAATTGATACATAATCACAAATCAATATCTCGCGGATTTCTAGATTTTTCAAAGGCGAACACAAAGGTCTTCGCCATGGTAGTCATTGCCTTTTAGGCCCACAAGATCCCCGAACCAATTCATACAATGCACGGTAGTTCCTCCACTCATATTAGCATACACATAAGCCGTGCAGGATTGTCACGACATTTGGATTCACATTGACTAACGGTCATATTTCCAAGAGATTGAATATTCGGGCAATTTTGTCCTTTCAAACTTAAAAAACCAATCTCCCAGATCACATGTCAGTGCCATTTTCCTGGCACAGCCTCCTGTCCAATTTGCAAGATTCAAAGAATTCTGATCGTTAAGTTCAAAACCCTGCAAACAACTGTAAAATGGATGGAAACCATTTTGTTCACAGCCTACTAAATGGAGCATACTGGCCATAAAAATCACATTTGGACTCAACTACTGGCAACTTCCATGCAACTACCCATGAATTGTCACTTTGTTCCCATAAAAGGACCTGAGCTTGCCCACTAGGAGTTAGCATGGCTCTTATTTTTCAGGGACACTGCAACTGAGATAAATTTCATCACCTTCTGCTACGAAAGTAAAAAAAAGAGGTAAAACCTTGAGATTTGTATCCTATATAAGAAAAACTAGTCATGTACTGTGCTTCTCCAATATGAATGGTTTTGCTTCCAAATGAATATTTGTGGATGCCCTTCAGAATCTATACCTACTGAAAACATTCCTGGTCGAGGATCTTAATTGTCTACCCATGAGTATATAAGGCTTCGCTGTCCAGTTTTCCGATTCAACCTGAGTTTCATGCCAGGCATGAATGTATCATGAAAAGGTAAAAAGCGCAGTAATGGATGGTTTAAAAAAAAAAAAACCTTTCTCATAGCCATTATTCCATTATGAAATGTTCAATTGAAAACCAAATAAGCAATGCAATACACCTGTGACGATAGAAGTAAACAGAGAGCAGAAAAACACAAAAGTGAAGCTATTATATACTATTATACACACAAAATATTATATACTATTGTATTAATACTATTTAATACTGTACTATATAAAGCAAAGCCTCCGGTTGGTGTGAATCCAAAAGTGAAGCTGGGTTATCATGTTCTAAAAAGAAGCTGGGTTATCATGTTCTAAAAATACAAGTAACCGTTTAATTGTTAAGTGCAAAACTTGAAAATCCAAACCCTTTCACAATTAGTCAATTGTCCTTATTTTGTCAAATGAAGTCAACAATAAGATTGGGGTTTGTCTGTCCATACCACACACTCTCATCATGGTTTTCCCCTTGTTCTCTAACAAATTATGCATACATAAATATATGCACATATAATTTGAAACCAATCAAATTCAACCAAAGGAAAACTTTAAGAAGAAAATACACTTTAACCCCTTCGAAAAAACAAGAAGGATACAAATTAACTGATTGTTTCGTTCTCTTCCCTATCCATCACCTGCTGATTGTGGAGCTTCCTATCAATGTATATCTGTCCCTCAGTAATATAGCCTGTAAGATCTGGAGTTGGATGTGTAATATCTGGTTTATCAACCGAAACTAATATCAAGTCCACTGCTCAATATAAACCAAAAAGGGAAACATGATGTCAACATGCATATTGAGACTATTGAAAAAGGATACCAATGGTTCCAAGTAAACATGAAAATGGTAGTTGAGCCCCTAATCAGCTAGCTGCACTACTACGCCCCCAAAATTTCAAAAAACAACAGCAGAGTGACACGAAACATGAGTCCAAACAAGAGGAAATCACATGCCCAAATTAAACGCCTAAATTAACGAGTGATTAGCCAACAACATCATAACAACCACAAGCTCTGATTTGATTTCCATCACCAAAAAGAGTCAAAGATTCATAAATAATAAAAATAATAAATAAATAAATACTAAGCCAACTCAATAAACAACCGTAATTAAAGACCTAAATAGACAAGAATAGAGAATTAACTTGCCAACTGGGTGGGATATAATTGGAGGACTAAACCAAAGTCTGAACTATTAGTTCTTCCTTATAATCCTGACTCAATCCAAACACAGGACATGATACACAATCCAAAGAGATTCGTAGTCCTAGGACTATTAGTCATGGGAATACTAATTCAACCTAATCTAATCCACCCAAACAAACATGGCCTTACAGCCTTAATAAAATTAATAATTTATGATTTTTAATATTTCCTTTATGTGATTGAAGTTTATATTAAATAATAACTCTCAAATCAAAAACTCATGTCATAAAATTTAAATCATGAAAACATGTGAAAATTAACATTTATAACAAGTATTAATCTCTTTCGATGTGAACAAAAGAAATCCTCATTTTTAGTAACTAATGAAACAAGAAAGCAAAATTAAAAACACTTAGTTTAAACCCAGCTCTACAAAATTAATCTCTTTAGATGTGAACCAAATTCAACCAACCGACCATTAGGTGCAACGTACATGTCATTATAACAAGTATTATAACATCATCACAAGTATTATAACATCTTTTTGAACCCAGCTCACAAGTATTATAATCCTCCTAAGTCATACATGTAAAGTGCACATGCAACAAAATATGAGAGAGAGAGAGAGAGAGAGTAATACTCTGTTCTACACAGTTGATATAGAAAAAATAGAGAAATTGGATTTAGCCAAACTTATACATGGTTATCGTACACATCAGGTAAGACAAATGTGGAGAACAACCTCTGACTATTTTTGCTGCATTATTTCAAACTATTACTTACTTACTAGTAATCCTCTAATCTCTGAAATACATTCTACTTTCTCACATCAGTTCTATGTAACATTTATTCTCCAAATACAAGTTAAACTGCAAAGAAGAAGGTTTCAGCTAGCCTTGCATTTTGAGCAATTTAGATTCACATACAAACACAAGCCAATCCAAAATACTGAAATCTGGGGTAATTATGAATCCAGATAAAAATAACGCAGCAGCAGCACAACCTACACTTATAATTGGGGTAATTATCAGAAGAAATGTAAACGAAAACAAAGTTAAAGAGGATTGAGTAGATTAGAAAGAAACATTAACAGGTTGATGTGTGTGCGTGAGAGAGAGGTGAGATACATCCACCAAATCCAAAACAATGAACTCAAAACAATGAAAAATCAAAGATCTAAGTTCATATAAAACAAGTGCATATATAATAAAAACTTACAGATCTGAGTTTTGCAACAAAAAGAAGCGACTGATTGAGCGAGATCTGCAACAAAACAGAGCAGCAGCACACTTATAGATCTTCAAAAAAAAAAAAAAAAAAATCTGCAACAAAACAGAGCAGCAAGAAACTTACAGATCTTGAAGAAAAAAAAAAAAAAAGGTGGCCTAAACGAGCTTCAAAATCTAGATTGACCAAAGGACCAAAATCGAAAGTCACAAAATCGAAAGAGAGGAGAACCAAAATCGGAAGATAAGCACCGATAGTGAGAGCTTCAAAATCTGCAACAAGTTCTGAAATCGACAGATCTGAAATCGAGAGAGCGAAAGTGTTTGAAATCGAGCGAGAGTGAGAGCTTCAAATCAGTGAGTGAGGGTTTTTGAGCTTCAAATCGGATGGGTTTCTGAGCGAGAGAGAGTGAGTCTGAGTTGTGGAAGAGTGAGAGTGAGAGTGAGAGTGAGAGTGAGAGACGTTTTGGAAGGGACGGAGTATTGAACGGTGTCAACTAATTGACCCAAACGGTGCCGTTTTACTGAGATCAGATACAACGTTTCGAAAACGTTGTATATAAACTAATCTATAATGGCGTTTTTCATAAACGCCATAAAAGAAACGTTGCAATAGGTACCCTTTCCTGTAAGCTGGATTATCAATTAAAACTCTGCCATAATAAAGTGTCGTCACCCAGTCTCAGAACGAGATTTCCATTATCTGAAAGCTGTGCAACTGTGGAGTCTATGGCCAAAATGAGAATTGTTGCATTTGTTGACCAGACTACTTGTCCTCTTCCATAAAAAATCACAAGATTCCCATCATCACCGAGCCTGAAAACAGCTGTAGAATTCTGGGCAAGAAGGTTTTCTCTATTAGCAACCCATATGACTGTTTGTTTGGAGATTGTTTTGTACCATATGCCAATGTATCTGTTGGTGGAATTGCCTGGACTGAAGAAGCCTAACGCAAAATTTCCACCAGCTGAAGTTAAGGTTTGGTTAGTGTTGATTGATTCGCCTGCTCTCAAAATGTCTTCACTAGCACAAACAGGAAAGAGAGAAGAGGACAGGATGATCGTGATATTCAGTAGAAAATAGCAAGCCATTGATGGATCTTTTGGTTTAAGGTGATCCATCATTCATTTGGTATGTATCTCACTCTGCTAGAAGAAACTAATGGTAGATAGACAGACACTCAAGTGGTACTTGAAGACACAGTTGATTTTTTGGTTAGGCTTTCCTATGTTTATGTTCACAAGGAAAGTCATGACAAACTACTTATAGGTATGAAAATGCGCTGCAAAATTCTGATGTAGAATTATTCTTGAATGGGTCCTGCTACGTTTCATGAAAATTGTCATGAAAACCATCTGCATCGTTGGATTATGAGACACATACCTGATTTAACAGTGCAGATGGTTTTCATGACAATTTTCATGAAAATTCTTCATGACACCTAGCATTTCCCTTCTTGAATTAATGTGTCACATTAAAGATGGGCCACGCTCTTGTCTCTCTCACTCTCTCTCCCTTCTTCTTCTTTTTTTTTTTTTTTTTTTTTTTTTTGTACAGATTTTTTGTGTACGTACATTTTTCTTCATTCAACATTTTTTTTTTAAAAAATACATCGATGCTTTTAAGTTAATTTCTTTCTGAAGACAAAAAAATTGAGCATTGTTGTTGAACCACTGCAACATATGGTCTTGTTATACATATTCAAAATTTTTAAAATTAGATTTTTTATTGCCAAGGAAACTTAAGAAATTAAAATGCTGAAATAAAATCGAGTACGTAAAAATGCATAACAAACTTTAACACATTTCATCTAGGAGGTAATAGGCCTCTTAATTAGAGGTGTGCGCGGTGCGATTCTGACGGTTTGAAAGTAAAATTACAAATCGAATGGCGGGTTAACAGATTGACAAATTGTGGTTTGGGCGGTTTTTGGCGGATCGGCGGATTGAAGAATATTCTAACTAATTATCATACATTTGCATAATATATAACACTAATTTGTATAATATTTTTTAGATATATAACACAAAATAATTTACATAATATGTTTCATAGATATAACCACTAATTTGTAAAAAATTCCATATCTTAAATCTCTCTCACACTCATTTTTACATTGATATTTCATTGAAAGTTAAAAAATATATACGTATTAACTATAGCGTAGCGGAACGAAGCGGTTCGGTTAGAGGATTATAAATTTTAAGTTTAAACCGCGATTTGCCAAACATGCCATGCCACGGCCTCGCCCCGCATGCCATGCCACGGCCTCGCCCCGCATGCCAGGCCACGGACGGCCTCGGCCAGCATGCCGTGCCACGGCCTCGGCCCGCATGTCCTGCCACGGCGTTGCCCAACATGCCATGCCACGGCCTCGGCCCTCATGCCTTGCCACGGC